TGTGAGATGGCTACAACTTTGTTGTCAAAACTGACCATTCCAAAATATCATTCTATAACTAAAGTGTGACTTATCAAACTATGCACATGAAAATTTTTTTTTCAAGCCAAGAAAGATGTTACCCTGGGTAAATCCAAAGTCACGCAAGAACAGCATGTAACCAAAAAGAAGAACCATTCAACATTATTGGATTCTGTCAATCCACAGGTGTTACATCAGATTTCTTTCTCCTAGTTGAAAACCTTAACAAAGGCTAAAGGGTCCAAAAATCCCAGTGAGCTTATCAAAGGCACAGACACAAAACCAAGTATTTCTATATCCCCATACCTGTGGTAGATGGTCACTGATCCTACAAGAAGGTTCATTCACCTCATTGACATGTCTTGATTTTATTCTTGCTGGGTGTCTAGCCTCCCTAACCACCAGCTTTTTTCTGGTGGGGGAACCAGTTTAGTCACTGATGATCTGACTATATGGCAGGTAGCACTAAAACATGGCATACCAATTGTACTAACTAAAACCTGACTATATATTAGGAAATTAACGATATAGTGTAAAAAATTGTCATTAATCTTCCTGACATTGTTCTGGTATATAAAAAATCATTTTTATATTATATATATATATATATATATATATATATATATGTGTATATATATATATATATATATATATATATATATATATATATATATATATATATATATATACACATATATGAAATGGACAAAGTCCAACAATTATTTTAAGACATTTTTATGTTTATACATTCTTTTTATAGATAAAAATATTTAAGTAAATGCTCTGTTTTATAATATACAGTATTAATAACATTTACCAGCCTGAACATCTGAGAAATTTTCATATGACGGTTCCGTATAGGATACAGGTTCAATTCCTGTCGGAGGAGAAATATTTTCTATGAAAATTTCTCAGACGTTCAGGCCGGTAAATGTTCTTTAATACTGTTTATTATAAACAGAGCATTCACTTAAATATTTGCATCTATAAAAAGAATGTATAAACATAAAAATGTCTTAAAATATATGTATATAATTTAAGATATAACTAAAAATATATCCGTAAAAGGACAATATGAATAATATACATATATCTTAAATATTTAAATATACAAATGAGATAAAAGTTTTCAGTCTCAAATCTTCAAATGTACTATATCTTTTTGGCAGAGTAGTATCTGTTGCTTAAAGATGAGAGGAAATAGAAAATATTGTAGGCGTTTTATCTAAATTCATGCATGACCTCCAAGACAAGTACCTTATTTTAACAGTTCTGCTGGAAGACTTTATGGAATTCAAATTTCTCACTCACACACACAAAAAAAAAAAAAAATAGAAGAAAACTAGCACATATGCCCAAAAGAGATAATACATACACAAATATACACACACACACACACACACACACACACACAGAGTGTGAATGATAAATTGTCATGTAAATTACATAAAAAAATGAAAATAACATTGAAATATCATTTTAACAGATATATTTACCAAGGGCACATGGGACAGTGGATAAAGACGTTAGTTACATCCAGTGACAGGACCAAAAGTGTGTAAGTTCAATACCCAGTTAAGGCAGTGGAGAACTTTCAGAGGGAAATTAACAGGACATCCATTAAAACATGGCACATGGAACTAGAACAGTCTACCCCCATGAGTGAAATAAAGGGTTCAGTTCGACATTCTAACTACCTGAAGAAGGCCGTAGTGTACAACAGCCGAAACATTGTAATAAATATGGCAACAAAGATGAGGACAATGTACATAATACTTCATCTCAGAAATATAGACAGATATTTACCAAAATCAAACAAAAATATTTTGAAATACTAAAGAGTAAATTTAATCAATAAAATCGTCATTGGCTTCAACCATGGACTTCAGAATCTCCTGCAACTCTTCTGGACAGTCTCCTTATTTAAGTTGGTGAATGCTGCCATAATCCTTGACTTCATTTCATCTTTGGTGCTATAAGAAGTTTTGCTGGTCTTTCACTCAACTGCGCCCCACATATAATAATCAAAGGGGTTGCAGTCTGGGGAGTTAGGTGGTCAGATATAAGGGTTTCTCCTGCTTGTGTGGCATGGTGCAGAGTCCTGCTGCCAGACATGGATCTTCCAGCAACCACCCTTCTAACCTAGGGCAGCACTACCTCTTCAAGGCACTTGATGTAGGCCTCCATTTTGAGTATGAGGCCATCACCAATAAATTCAAGAGTTCTTTTCTTATCAGAATGATCAGAATGAGTTTTCCAAGCAGCTGTACCTTTATAATCACCATTAGATTCATCCAAATCATTCCAAATCCTCCGCACTGTCCAAAAATTGACACCCAAATGCTCTGAAATGTTCATATTAGAGCTTCTGACACAAATACAAAGCAGTACAGCATGCCATTTCCAAATTTCTGATGGAGTGCATCATGGTGCTCTTTTTCTCACAGACGGTGCCCAACTGACCCTACTATAATGTGCAGTGAACAAAAAATCGAAAACAATGCACAGGCACGAAACTAAAAGTATAAAATGGTGACAATTTATCCCTGTATATATTTTAATCATTTCATCCTAAGCAAGGCAATAAAGCCACTAGGAGACAAGTGGTTACTAATTATTAGAGAATACAAGAAAAACTACTATTAAGGTTGAGAGGATAATAAAAGAATAAGAATTAAGATAGAAGATAATGATTAACATTGCATTTAAATTTTTGAAGATCAATTTTGACTGGGAGGCAAGAAGCTGAGAGAGAATTTCACAAGTGAGAAGTGTGAGAGGAACATGAAACTTATATCTCGCCATTTCAACTGAATATTTGAGACCTGGCTGCCAATCTAGTACTGCGCTTAAATTCATAAATCTAGGTACCACTAGAGGAAAGTTCATCAGAACAATTATCATGAAAGTATTTATAGAAAAGATACAGGAAAGCTATGTTACAGTGGAGGAAAAATATGCATGCATACAAATCAATGCCAGAATACATGTAAGATTATATCCTTACTAAAATAGATTTACAGTTTCAATATACACCAATTCAACTGTGTATATGCTTATAAAAATTCTTGTCAGACACTAATCCTTCGAAATCTCAAGTCTCTTCTGATTATTATTCTTCTATGTGCCACATCCCTTCAAAACGCTTGTAATCATAACTACAATTCCCTGTCTCTTGTCATTTTTAGTAAAGTTTGTCTTTCTGCTATCTCTCCTAATCCCTATTCTGCTAACCATTTAAACCAGATCATTAGGTAGGCTATTTGCTGATTTCTTCTGTCTTTCTTGCCTCCAGTAGGTCTTGTGATTGTCAAATTCTCCAAGACCTCTTTCCTCATTATGTGTCCTAGAAATTTCAGCCATCTCTTTCTGATATGCTGTGTATCAGCAGCCTTTCTGTTTTCTTTAAAACTGTCATTAGTCACATGAATCAGTCTATGGTATTCTCAGCATCCTTCTGTAGAACCATATTTCTGTTGCTTCAAGTCTCTTCTTCATCTGTGAGATTGTCCAACATTCATAGCCATATAGGAGGACTGACATTACATAATTCAGTACTGTTTTCTTTGTTTTTAAACAAAATTTTTCTGTTTCTTAATACTTTGCTAAGCTTTTGGAAGGCATCCAATTTGGATTTTAGTGTCATATTTTCTGTCCACTTTTTAAATATTTAAACTGTTGTACTTGCTTGATTTTGGTGTCCCTAATTTGTAATTTGCATTTTTGGCAGTCCCTTTTACTAATGACCATGCATTCTATCTTAGAAAATAGAAAAGACATCAGAAAGAGAAACAAAATAGAAAGTAAAATAAGTTTTCTTAGGCAATAATATCACAAGAACAAAGGCCTTTCTTTTAAATTCAGAATAATTGCTTTGAATATTTATAAAGGAAGACAAATTTCAGAATACACATATTGTCTGATTAAAAATATATACTTGAAATATAATCACACAAACAGATACACGTGATTGAAGTTTTTATGGTTTGTCAACTTTTTGTAGGTTATTTAAAGCCAGAAAATATTTTTGTTATATACTGTACCTATGAACACTAATGGGTATGTCCCAATCCTCATAAATATGTTAAACACTATTGTAAGTGGGGGTAATATGCTGTCTAAGTAGACCACCACCACTAGCAGTGGTTTACCTATTTCACGCCGCTGGCGAGTATTGTATTTTGTTGATGTTATAAAGATTACCATTTCATTTATAACCTCTGTTTTGGTTATTCCTCATTCAGTAACCCTTTCTAGGTTAAAACAATTTTAGATTGAGATAATGATTTATTGATAGAAATCTTACTAATTAACACATAGTTAAGAGAGAAGAGATGGATTCATACCTTTCCCAAGAATATTTGCGTTTAAATGAATATAATGATCCCAACTAGAATTAACTTTCTGATTTCTCATTTCAAGCCATTATCCACATACACATCCAAGCTTACAGCACCTGATATTCTCAAGAGGTCACCCATCTAGGTACTGACCAGGCTCAACATTGCTTAACTCCAGTGAGAACTGATGTTTCGACATGATAGTGTTATAAGCCCATTATACGATTCATACATCCAAGAATACAGCACCTGGCTATGGGCATGACGATAAACTACAACCGCATCCTGGGTAAGACGATAAACTAAGAGGTTTTGATGAGCGTGGAACTGCTTCTTGGTTGCTGATGTTCCCAGGTCAACCCTGACCCGGGGTGGTGGCACCTGTTGGGAGGGTCCCAGCTATGGGCAAATAGTTAACTATTACTGGCAATACATTTTTGGAAAAAAAATATTATCAGGAATACTTTTTTGAAAAAAATTATTACCAGCAATACATTTTTCAAAGAAAAATATTACCAGAAACAGATTTTTGACAAAACAAAATATTACCAGCAATAAAAAAAATTTTGCCAGCAGTAAATAACCCATTGAGGTTAATATGCGATAACACAAAACAACCAAACCAACCAACCAACCAACCAGCACCTGGCATTCCCAAGCAGTCACCCATCTAGGTACTGACCAAACTCGATGTTGCTTAACTTCAGTGATTATACAATAACCAGTGTTTCCAGCATGATATGGCTATAAATTGATAAAAATTAGAGTTTACATGGCAAACATTTATGAAGTCAAATAGTAGTATTAATACTTTAGCTAATTTCATATTTGTGCAACACAGAGAAACCCGAGCAAAGAGATTGTATCTAACATCCCAACACTAAGAACAGGTTCATCGATTTGTCATAGCAGCTGAAGGACTCCCACGTAATTCTAGTTTCCCCCCTCTAAATCTGCTACTACTACAACTACTACCACCACCACCACTGTTCCTCCCAGCCACCTCATTTATGTCTCCAGACATGCAAACACCTACGCATCATCTACATTATCTTCACCCCATTTCCCTTTGCCCTTGGGTGGCTGTCATGTATGAATTTAGATAGAACACCTACAATATCCTGCCGCCCGCCTTTTTTTTTCTTCTCTCTTTCTTTTAAAGTAACGGATACATATTCTGTTAAAAGATACTTATCTTTTAGTAGATTTGAACATTTACTTTTATATTTAAATATTTAACATGATTATATTTTTTCTTTCTTTCAATCCAAGCGGGATACATTTCAGCATGATATTGGCATTTAAATAGGAGATTTTATATATATATATATATATATATATATATACACACACACTTTAAATGTTATATTTTTAGTGGATACATGTATTTGGATAGATGCCATGCTTTTTTTGCTTTTTTTTTTTTTTTTTTAAACAGTCTGAATTACATCTACTGGCTTGTGCATTTGAGAATCTTAAAGAAAATGCCACCCATCAAGAGAAAATGTTTAAAGTTCAAAGAAATAATGTCAGAAGAAAACCATCTATTAGCTTCTTAGAAATGACTTGGTCTATGCTTTATATATATATATATATATATATATATATATATATATATATCACACACACACAAGGGAGAGATATAAAGACAAATATATAGTGAAGAAAATATGCGCATGAGTAATTCAACAAATATACCTGTTTATGTATATGTACTTGTTCACTAGCTTAAGGTCATAATTTTAGAGCATTCAGTAAGGTTTGAATTCTCACACACTGGCTAACAAATCTCAATTATTATGACACAGAAGGCAATGTGTGTGTCCCATTACAAATCTATGTATCTGTGTGTTAATAATACACACACGTCTGTGGACAACATTTCTATACATTTTTTCTCATATTTTTATATACGCACTTTTCCTTTTTCAGAACATAAATAGTCATATGGATCAATAGATATAATTTTACTCAGAAAAACAAAATAAACCCCAAATTTCCCATTTTAGAATTTCTTGGATATTCTTACTTCTATACTTTAAGAAAGAAAATAATTATTTTTAATATTGTCAAATAAACATCTATAAATCAGTTGAGCTCTCCAAGTATAAAAATCATGAATGCAATGATAAACCAAATTAACATTAAACTGATAATGTTTAAAATATCCCTTTTTAAAATGCCATTCAAATATTTTCACCCTATTTGAAAATGTGATCAAACACAGGCCCAGTACAAAGGTTTCATGAGCCCCACCCATGAATCTACCACTCTACTACATCTCAATTTTCAGAAGGTTCTATTCAAATAAAATACCTGTCATAATTCAATCTTAAATAAATCAACAGTTTTGAGGCAATTTTTAACATCAACTTGAGATTTTTTTGTTAAAAAGTTGAATAATTTTCAACATCATGGATAAAAAAAATAGTGAATTTTATAAAGTGTTTTTTTTTTGTGACTTAGCATGAGCAAAAAACAAATTGACAGATTTGAAAAAAAAAAAAAAAAAAAATGTCAAAATCCACAAAAATATTTCATCCTTTAATAATTAGTTGTGCTTAGTTTAATTTGTAATCTATATAAATGTAGGTGGACAAAGGCAAATGATAAGATAGTGAGAGTCACAAGGTAGTCCTGGACTCCAATCAAGCTTCCCTGTCTCAGTACTTGTAGTATGCATTGGCCCTGGTCACATGTATGAGTAAAGAGAGCATCATTTCACTGATGTACATCTTAGAACAGATAATTGTTAAAGAAGCTTTACTTTACAAACTAGAAAAAAAAATACCTCATGTTTAAGCAAGTATCTCTGTACATGTTTCCTTTAACAAAACATATTTTTAAAATCCAGTACAAAATATAAACAAATGTGTGATATTAATTTCACGAGATTGTTACATTTTTTTTATACACAAATAAGACCTTAACAAAAGAAAAAAAAAAAAGAAAAAAAAAAGGCAATTACTGACCCAACACACCCCTTTGGTCCCATAAAGAATGTAAACCAAAAGAAATCAATTAGTAAAACTATTTTTGACAAGTAACCAAAACTATGATCCTCACAGGACATATCAAATGCAAGAGACAAGGGAAGACAGCAGGCCACCTACTTGATTGAGCTTGTGCAAATGGATGGCAGAATTATAGCAAAGGGACAAACATTGCTGAAAGCTACAATGGATAGGAGGTTGTGGAGAGCAGTGATCGCCCACGTCCTGAAGGGACACAGCATATAAAAGAATCAAAACTTTAAATACTGTTATTTTTATTGTCAACAAAATGTAGTTTTATTTATTGTATGATAGCCAACCAGATAAAATTATAAACTTGAACATATTTGAATCTGTAAAATAACTGAATAGTCAAAAGATTGAAAAAAAATAAAGGGTAAAGTTTAACAAACATACTTGGAAAAATTAAAAAAAAACTGTTTCAAATGATGGCTTTCTTTTTCTCAGCAAGTTCTATTGTTTGAAAAAGCTATTTTTAGAATTTTGATAAAACTCAAAACATATGAAACTGGATTTGTACATTTTTTTTTTTTGAGAACTGACAACAAAAATTTTAAACACTACTTATTCATTAGATTGTTTATTTACACCCTTGTGCAAATTAATTGAAACAAAATGAATAAATCTGTTATTTACTTTTTTTTCATATTTTCCCAATGAAACATGACCCAGTGCACATGTTAGTACTTTGTATGTCCATTCTACAAAGTTGTTCCTTGCAGATTGACCACAGATTATCAATTGGATTTAAATCAGGACCAATCTATAGTACTTTGATTTGCTTACTGGTAAGGCTGGCCAGTGAGTTCATGCAGCATTACAATTTTTATACCACTTAATTGGAGTAACGTCCATCACAGACAATGGCCATAGGACAACTAATTGATAGTCAAGACAATAGTGTCTGGGTGTGATGAAAATCTGATGCAATTATGGATGATGCAATATTTTTCAAGTCCAAACAAATTTCATCATACACCCTGAAAATGGATTTGTATTACTGCACACCACTGGAAATGACCTAATCTGAAGAAAAACTAGAAATCTATTATACCCTGTTACTCCAGTGGGTCTAAAACGGACCATATGCTGAAAGAAAGGAAAGAAAGTGATTGTTCCAATTAATTTGCACAAAGGTGTACAAGAGTAATTTTACATTTATGAGATTATAAAAATATGTGAACCAACTAAAATGTTATATTTATTATTAATCAAATTATAAACAACAACTCAGAAAACAACTATTTTTTTTATTCACAAATTAATAAAAATGTCACAGCTGTAGAACAAGAAAATGTAAATAAACAAAAAGTGATGAAAACTGTAATAATAAATTTAAAAAAAAAAAAAAAAAAAAAAAAATGTATAAATCCAGAGACTCTTGACTTATTTTAGTGAATTTATGAGGCATGAGCAAATGAAAGAAATGACTAGAAAATACATCCATTAAAATTCTAAAATAGCTCATTAAACAAACATTTCTCGGAGAATATATACAAATAGCAGTCTCAAAAGAGAAAAAAAATCCCTTTAACACTCCCACCCAGTTTTTTTGTTTTTTTATTTTTTTTTTTATTTTTACAGGTATGTTTGTTAAACTTTGCCAAGCTAAGTTGTTTACTTTTAACCTTAACATGTGACGAATCATCCTTTTAGCATCACTAACAAAAAAGGTACTATTGTTAATATATTAAACTAAACATAAATGAACATCATTATGATAAATTGATACCAGGATCAAAGATTACAAATACATGAATAAAGTTAATCATAAAGACAGACATTTATTAAAAGACAGTTATTTGACTGAACATGACAATTTAACAGAAGCTAACATCCCACAATCATTTTTGTAAATACAGTCAACTACTTCAGTCTCCACTCCTTCCCTCCACAACTGAAGAACCCAATAATGATAGTTATTATATGAAAGGACAATATAAAATTTCTGATAATACAGATAAGGCTCTCTCTCTACACTCATCCGCAAATATCTGTGTTCTGCTACTTCAAAACCCATCATGTCAAATGGCTTCATCAATCTCAAGCCACTGACCTCCAGACTTTGAACTTCTCAATTGCTCAATCTCATTCAAAGAGTAGACTTACCCCAGCCATTTCCCTAGCAACACTGACAGACATATTTTCTCTACTTGATCTTTTTCTTTGCTCTTCCCATGGACTCAAGTCATGCTCTGCAGATCTGTCCTCTTGGCAACACTGACCATGCACCAAAACAGTCTACAGATATTTCTTTCTGCACTATTATCAAGCAAGAATCCCCTATTAACAGAACATCTGTTATCAATGCAGATAGAAACTCATTTCATGATTTCCTTTGCAATGCCCCTTGAAATAATTTTTAGTCATCTGGTTAAAAAATGTGCAAATGAGTTCTGGGTAAAGAAAGGCAGCAAAGCTTTCATGCCAGCATGAAAATATCAAATAAAACCATAATCTTCTCCATTGGTTCTCCCCTGCATGTCCAGCTACTGTAGCCTATAGAAATCACTTCTCCCAGCTATACCAGAGCAACAGGTTGGATTGTAACAGACATCTCTTTGTCACCACTCATTATGAATGTAAGCATGTCCTTCAAAGAATGAGACAACAGGATATTGTAGATGTTCTATCTAAATTCATACATGACAGCCACCCAAGGGCAAAGAGAAATGGGTGAAGCTTCTTGCAAGTTAGATTCTAGAGATTACTGGCAGTTCTGCAAGAATGTG